CTCCCACAACAACCTCTCTGGGCCCATTCCCCCCGAAATCGGCAGCCTGACCAACCTCACCTCCTTGGACCTCTCCCACAACAACCTCTCTGGGCCCATTCCCCCCGAAATCGGCAGCCTGACCAAACTCACCTCCTTGGACCTCTCCCACAACAACTTCTTTGGGCCTATCCCCCCGGAGCTCAACAATTTGACCAGCCTTACCGAACTCAAGATCTCCGGCAACAACCTCTCCGGGCCAATACCTCCAAGTTTCTGCCGCTTCTACCGCAGTAGTTTCAGTCCTGGAAACCTGGAGTTGGTCTGCAACAATTGTGGTTACAGCTCATTATGTGGAGCTGTCCCACCTTCTTCATGGTCACCATCCCCTCCTTCTTCAACGTCACCACCCCCTCCAGTTGGACCTATTGTTGGTGCGGTTGCTGCTGGAGCTGCTTCTCTCCTAGCTGTGGCCATCTTAGGGTACTGAGATGTGATGTGATCTGTATATATTTGGTGTGCTTTCGTTGGAGCTAACCAGCGGGCACCCATTGGTACACCAGCTCGAGAGCGAAGGGGTGGAGCGGCCCCTCAAAGTGGCGACGGATATGGGTTAGGGGGGGAGAATCCTAAAATTGGTCGACCCGGCTCTTGGGAATGGCTACGATGCGGAGGAGGCTCGTAGCTTGAGCTGGCATCGGTATTTGAATCGAGTGGAAGTGGTCTAGTTTAAGGTCGTCTGGGTAAGGTTAGAGTGGAGTAACAAGTGGTTATTGAGGTGGAGCGCACCCTTTGATGTCCGAGACATTCCCCTTTTTAGGAACTACCGCCGTGGCGCAGATGACAGAGGGCATAGTCGACCAGGATGCTCTTTGTCATTAAGTTCAACCGCAAGCTAGTGTGTAAGTAGAGTAAGCCATACGTTGTCGGATCATGTTCCACTTTTGATCTGTACGGTTTGCCTTCAAGCTCAGAGCTGCGATTTGTGCCGTCCCGCTCTGGTTGCCTGATGAGCTTGGCTGCTTCGATTTTGAATCCGCTGTACCTTCGGGACTTCGTACGTATGTTCTCGACTACGTGGCGGGCATGCTTGCAAAGAACAAGCTTACGCAATTATATCGCCATATCTTCAGATGAATGTCAAGTTATCATCGAGACGAAGGAGCCTTCATGTCCGGTTCGCTATTTGCTCGTCTCGATGTGCGAGCGTTCCAACTGGGCAGTCCTGGAAGTTGAGGCGTTTCAGGCGCAGAGATTCTCGGGCTTTGAATCGCGTCGTGGCGCTGTTGGACCAATCAAGTGAAGAGGAGGCTGGCAGCATATGCTCTGATGCCTCGATTGACTAAGCGACGCGCTGTCTGGATTCTTGAGCGGTTGCTTAGACAAGCGCTCTTCGCAAGTCTTTTACCCAAAACTCCTGGATTGCATATAAGTAAATTTCTCGTCTGCTGGTTATCGAGCTTTCCTGATGTACTCTGTCGAGCGAGCACCACTGTAATTCTGCTGACGCAAACTTCGACGTATGAAGTTGCGCTCAGGCTTTTGTAATTGCGAAATTTGAAACTTGGACAGTGACGACCCCGTTTGTGCCATGACTCGCTCCAAACTCCCAATCAAGAGCTCCCTGACGGTCTCGACGCCTTACCGTTTTGTGTTTTGTGTTTTGTGTTTTGTGTTTTGTGTTTTGTGTTTTGTGTTTTGTGTTTTGTGTTTTGTGTTTTGTGTTTTGTGTTTTGTGTTTTGTGTTTTGTGTTTTGTGTTTTGTGTTTTGTGTTTGCGGACGGATTTAGAGCTGCTTTGAGTCCGGCAAGCCTTCTTGCCCGCTCTCGTCGCCTTCCTTTTGCCAGCATCTTATGATTCATTTGCACCTTTCGAGAGTCTGATTTGCTGAGAGTCAACACCAAGTGTTTGGCGGGAGCGCCGGGTCTGTTTGAACGGACAAGTCGAGTACTGGCTGTGACTACCGCTTGATCTCGCCCGTACCAATGATATATCGTGAAGGAATATTAGGTCGGACGCCACCTCTCTCGCACTTGGACCATTTTTCAGTGGCTTTGGACGATCGACCCTTCAAGACAATCCTCTTGTTCGTCAATCGTGCTGCAGCAGCTTCACTTTCACCCGCTCAACACTTTTTCCCCGTTTTCGGGGGCACGGAATTGGGCATCGCGACAAACGTTTCCGATGAGTCCAGCTTAAATGTCAATCCCGCGTACGAATGCCAAAAATCTTGCCTGTTAGAAAAGCCTCGGACCTGTTAGCTCGCCATGTTTGTGCGACGGACGGACGGACGTTCACTGGTTTCTTTCCTTTCCACCATTTGCATGGGTTAAAGTGCTGCTAGCGCTCAGTGCCTGTGACTACTTCAAATTGCCTGGTCCGCTGGCAAGAGACGTATGTCATCATTTGACGCCAGTGACCGCTTCAAGGATTGATTCCAGACGGTAGGGAGTACCCATTTAAAAGGTTTGTCTGACCGGATTTACATCACGAGGCTTTGTCTTCACCGAGTCGTACGTCCTTGATCATGCTAACAATTGTTTAAAAAAGAAAGTGTGATCCCAAGAGGGCGTGGGTGTCTACATCTACATTGCCTACAAAAGATTATGCACATTATCGTCGCGTTTCAGAGAACTCCGTGCAGGGCGCGATTGTCGTCGTGTGTTTCCGACTCAGAAAGCCGCTGGCACAGACGTGTCCTCAGGCTGCGACGTCTAAATGAAGAGTCCCAATGAGAAGGACTGGCCGGACTTCATCGCAGGTCCCTCAGTGAGCCTTAAGTGAAAGTTCACCTAGTCTACGCAAAGCGTTCCTTCTTTGGCTCACTTCAGTCCTTTTGACAACTCCTCACTACGAGAATCGCGCCCCCGGCAAGTTTGAAGGAAGTGATCGATCTGAGATGTTTTGCAAAGCGCTCCTGTTTCGACCTGTTTCGCAGAGCGCACTCGGCTTTTGTCGCTCTGCAGCCGGCGCTGCGAGATACGGTCCGTCAGCCGTAGCCACAAAAGTCGCAGCTTGACTCCAAATCTTCCGCCCAGCAACGTGTCCTAGCGTGTTGCGTTGACATTTTGACCTTGCCCACGTACATTTGGGACCACTTTTTCCCCTTGCCCCCATCCAACAGCCGCGCGGCTTTCCAGTACTCAAAGTGCTTCTCAATAGGCAACCCCCTTTTTGTACGTCGGAAGTTTCGTCGTCAGATGCGAGGCTTGAGCGCTGTCTCTGTCAACGCTGAACGGTCGGCCTGCTTCTGCCCCATCGGTCTTTCGACTGCATTAAGTCACCTTCGTATGTTGTATGCCTCTAGGGATCACACCACTATTGTAAATCTGAGCTCTTGCGCTTCTGTCCGCCGACCCTATTCAACGACTATTCTGACCCCCCACTCTGAAAACACGGCGCTAGAAACATCCAGGTCTGCGTGACTCGTGGCACGAACAGCGAAGCAAACTTCTGGGTTGTGTGAGGATGTGTTTTGGAGTTGCTGGCGAGGATGAAAGGGCCCGCTGAGAACATGTCAGAGCACTGTGTCATATATATATGCCGCTGTATCACAGTTTTACGAGAGGCTTCTATCTGGAAGTGATCGGAAGTTTTGATAATACGATCGCTTTCATATTCAGCAAGGACGACGGAATCCTTGGGACTTTCTCCGTTCCAGGGGCCAGGAAGTTGAAGGTCCGATGCTGCAACGGATTTCTTAGTATTGTTCTTGCGTGGCACATGGCATGTCCTTTGGCCGAGGTCCTTTTTGCAGAGATCTCTTGAGATCCGGCCCTGGTTGTAATCGACCCAAATGCTTTTGCCGAATGGCAAGGCCTGGAGAATCTTTGCATGTTAAGCTTCGTCCGAAGTGCAGCCTTCCAAACCTTTCCGTCGCGAGCTGGCGTTTTCGTAGCTCTTTCGATGCAGCGGAAAGGATATTCGTTCAAACTGCGTCTTGTCGGGCTGTCGAAGCAAACCTGGGATTTGATCGGTCTGAAAACGTAGCAAATGCTAAGCGAACAGCCTTTGGTTGCAAGAGTCTCGCGGCTCGCTGCATCTTTGACTGCTCGTTATCACTCATCCAGTCCACTTGGAATTGCCCTCTCAATGCTCTTACACTGTTTTCGAAACCCGTCGCACTAGTAGGGATGAACTTGCCTTGCCCCTGAGAGACGTGTGGCAGTGACGATTGAATTTTTGTGGCACCTTTGGGCGCCAGATGCGCAATCTGCAAGGAAACCCCACGCCACCAATTCACAAGGCCTGCTAAAACTCGCTTGTCGATTAGCTTTGCAACAGATTAAGAGACTGTTGTGCGGTTCTACTCGGCCGCTGTACTGCCCGTCTCTGGGAGGTGGCAAGTTCTCGTAGACGTGCTGCTCCTTGTCGCCCACATAACGCAAATTGATTATGGGCCTCGCCTCCATCAGAAGCTTTCACTTTCGACGTATTGTCCTCGCTGCGCGTCTATTTAAAGTCCGACGGTAAACGGACCGTCTGGGCCCCGCAAAAGTTGACCTCTGAACGGCAATTGAAACATGTTTTAGGATATTTAGGAGCGTCTTCTTTCAACAAAACGTTCCAAGCATATGTCGCTGTAATCCAAGACTTCTTTTGAGCTCGGTGCTTCAAAGTCTAGGCATCCGTCAAATGCGAGCAGCAGTGAACTGATTGATTTCAAAGCTACTTGGGTCGGCTTCACACTTTCAGTGGGTCCGGAACCATGATCTGTCAGTTCTTGCATCATTTGGTGCTCGGGATTTCGAAGGAGGCGCTAGCTAGTTGCGGAGAAAGTAGGAAAAAAGAAACAACTCTGGTCGACCTCTGATTCTGAGCCAGAAGCATAAAGCACAACTGGAATGCTGATGATACGACTGGCAATGAGTGTACGATCTTAAGGAGCTCTTTTGACTGCTCACTGGAGAAGATGCCCCGTCAACTTGATGCCAATCTGTCGCTTTCCCGCTGCTGGATTGCACCTTTGACTCGAAACCTTCGTTTAGGGGCCTTTTGTTCTCCACAGTGCGTCGCTTCATAACACGTCTTTCAGGAAAACGTGTTACGCGATCACTCAAGTCTTTCAAAGTGTTGGCAGCGCTGACACCAATACCAATAGCGATCTGACAGCTGCTCTTGCGATGGCCGGTAACTAAATATGCATTCCACAGAATACCGCTGACTCTCGAGAAGCCGTCTCCGCTGCAATAAGCTACGCTCGGAAAACATGGAACGGATGTACGTACGGCTGTAAACTTGTGGCCCCTGCCCACCTGTGGGTTCGAACCATTAATTACTTGCGAAGGGCCTGATTTTAGAAGCAGATTTCGTATTCGTACTTTCACACATCCAAAACAGCTGACTCGTTCGTTCAGGCAACTGGCGAGCCTGGCAGGCTTCGTTTTGAAGCATCGTGCAGGCTGCGTCGATTACAACGCCTCCGGCCTGGCCTTTCTGCAGCCTTCAGCTGGTACTTGTGACAGCGTGCAACAGTAAGACCCAATTGATCCTTCACAAGCATGTGCGTGTCAGAATGAAAGGCGTCTGTCCTACTGCTGCAAGCGATGGGCCACCACATACTTTGTAATTCAAAATTGGTCGCTGAGGCAGGAAGTTGCTCTCTAGCCGTGACGAACTGCTCGATTTTCTGGCGATCTTGAATTGCCATCATTGCATTTTCCATGTTCTTCCGAGGCTACTAGGTCTTGGTTATGGTGCACTTGGGGATAGGGCAAAAAGTAAAGCGGAGAACTCCCATGGTCCACTTCTCTAGAAGTGTGCGCATTTAATAAAGAAATTTTCGCCCTCCTCGAGCCTCGCTATTGTTGACCGGTGCCGAATCGGATGTAATTCACCTATAAAACGCTCCTCAGAATAGCTGAATGCCCAGCGATTGCGCGCTACAAGATGTTTCCGATGCGTGGCGTGCCGTTGAGGCCGCGCAAGCTTCATGGGCTGGTGCTTGAAAGAAACCGACGCCATTGATTGATTGTTTCATTCTCCTTAAGTTGACGCATTGTGCCGTGTCAGCTGGTCGCTCCGGTGATTATCAGGTTTCACCTCTTGCGAGGGCGACATTTA